TGACGCCACTTTGAACCCTGGGTCCATAAAGAAGTGAGATTCAAATTCTCCTGTGTTGATTTTCCTCTGACATAAGCCCACCTAATTCTGCACTCCCAAGGTCTGGCTAATCCCCTGGTATTCCAGAGAAATGTCACCACAGTCCAGTCCCAAGAGTTCCAGGTGGGCATTGAGAATCAACCTCCAGCTGATTTGAGTTTCTCCTATCTACCCAGAATGCATTAAGTGAGCAGTGACCCTCTCACCCCTGGAGTGCAGGAACCTGTGAATTTTCCCACCTGAATTCAATCATGTTCACACCTCCCCAGTGCAGACTCCACCCCTCCACAAGGATACTGGGGGGAAAGTGCTGGGTGTTAGAGGCAGGTGTGGAGATGAAGCATCAGCTCACCTTTTCCCTTCTCCACTGAGGTCTGAAGTATTGGGTGGAAGGGAAGCTTCATAGGTATCCTGCTGGGGCAGCACAAGATCCTTGACTTTTAGGGGATTCTTTGTGGTTATGCAGCCCACTGAAATACCAGCATATAATCGATAGAGGTTTCTGTTCCTCAGGGGAGGTCCAGAACCTCAGGTTCTTGAGTCTACTCTGATTTTTGAAGTTTTATTTGAATTGGTTTTCACAGAACCTCCAACTATGTGGCCATATTGAATTAAACTCAGCCTATTATCTTTTGTTTCTTTCCTCTTGACTAGAATGTAAGTTTCATGAAAGTAAAGAATTTTGCTATTTTATTCACTGCTATACCCACATCCCAGAGAAGATGCTTGTCCTGAAGAGGCCTCCATGGCTGGGAGGGGCATAGCTGATAGAAACAAGGTCCAGCTCTCGTTTGCTTGCCAAATTGCTGAGGGAGCTGCCCTGCACTGAGGAAGGAAAGATGTGCTCTCCATCTAACGGGAGCTTCCAGACTTTGCTTCCCACTCCCTGATACTGATTTGATCCTTTACTTCCTTAATAAACCACTTAACTGTAACTATTATCCCTGAGTCTTGTGTGACCACTGCATGGGCTACTGAATGCAGCAGAGGAGTAGAGTGTTATGGGAGGGACGGTTGGCATGAGAAGTAATATCGATGTTGGAGAATGGAAGTATGATGACCTCTATGCACAGAGATCAGCCTTGGGCTGTTCTTAATTTGTATTATTCCCCTGAAATTAAATAGGTTCTGGTACTACTATTACTTCCAACTCACAATGGGGTTACAAACTTAAATAGGCTTTACACATGCCTAAAATTATATTCTCAGAACAGTAAGCTCTAAAATATTTTTCACTTGAATTCACAATCAAAGGCAGCAATGACAAGGGCTATTAAAGATCCAGTTCAATAATGGCCCCTATGTCAGTTAAAAATACAAACAATATGAAGTAGCTAACAATGGTAGAATTATAATTATGGTTCTTCATATTTCAAATAATCATATTCAATTATCTGGTAAACACTCTATCAAAAGGATGAATAGTTACATGAAAGCAAGACAAACAGAGAAATAGAGTTGTGGTGGTTTTAAAATACGTGCACAAATTCTCAAATATCCCCCACCTTTGAAAAACAGAACTTGATTGATCTCAGGTTTAGAGTGGGCTATACATAGAGATTCAATTTTTATAAGCATAATATAGTGAAGGTGATAGTATCTAACTTCTGGACCTGGGTCATAATAGCCATTGTAGATTTTTTTTTCCTTCCTGTATAGTGATAGTGATGTTAATTTCTGAGGCAAAGTTAGAGTAGCAATTGCAGATTTTCCTCATGGCTCATGTATCTTGGATCACTAGCTTAGGGAAGGGATGGCAAGTAGGAGCCAGTTGCTTTGAAAACCATATCAAATAAATCTATGAAGAGGCTCACTTGGCAAGGAGCCAAAGCTTTCTGCCAATAGCCAAGACCATTTAAGTAATTCATCTTAAGTATCAATCCTCCAGTATCCGTCAATCTAAGACTACAGCCTTGCCATCTTCTTGATTATAATTTCTTAAGAAAACTTGAACCAGATCTACTCAACAAAGACACTGTTGAATTCCCAACCCACAGAAACTGTGAGATATAAATGTTTGTTGCTTTAAGTCATTATTTATTAGTAATTTGTTACATAGCAATAAACAATACAAGACTAAGTACTGAAACATTTTAATGTAATAAATGATGGACAATATTACTCTGTGAAACTTTAAATATATGACCATCAATTATACAACTCTGTTTAATATAGTTAAACCACTGGAAAATATAGTACATAAGTTATATGTCAAAAAACTGTCTTAAAAAATTACCAACTAAAAGTAAACTCTTTCCAGTACAGAAAAGGTATACTATTATCTATCTCATGCCAAATAAACTATCACCAGCTTTAGCATCACTCTTTCTCCACAAGTGGAGAGCATACTTCCAACAGTACTAACACATTCTTTCCCAGCTCTCAAATTACAAAATCTCATGCTTCAATCTCCATCCCCCAAATAGGAAAGGTATCTTTCTCCAGTATTTATAAACCCAAACTGCACACCTATGACTTAAGTATGATGACAGCATGCATCAGTACTTATATATCCAACATTGGTCATGCATCCTTTTAATGCCTATCCTACCCTGAATCATCTACTAATTGAAGCTGGTAATTTACTTGTCTGAGGGCATCAACCAACATAGGAATAAATGAACTATTTCTATCTTGTATTTCCCTCATTAAGTTATTTCTTAATGAAGAAGTTCCTTCTTTAGCAATGTTATCTCTACTTTAAAGTTGCCCATCTCTTCCTTGAATAATTTTCCTATTCAATATCAAATAAAATCCTAACATTCCACATTATATATGCATATCATTTTCCAAAAATCACTCTTTTCTGAGCCAAGAATAGTTTCCATCTGTGAATTATCATTTGCAGTTTTAGGTAAACTCTAACTCTTGTATTTCAGATACATTATATTGTTGAACCTCTTCCTTTTGACTGCAGAGTTCACCCTGACAGAGGAGTAACTGTTCAAGAACACAGCTCTCTCAACTCTTTCTAAAACTAATAAACAGGGATTGTTTTATGGAATTCAGTCAATTAGATTTCATTTAGTTTTGTACATTTTTCCCCTTTTGCTTGATCATGTCTTAAATATCAAGCATGATTAATTTTAAATTTAAAGACAACTACTTAAAATATAAATTTCATGTACTTAAATATTCCTTAATCAGATATGTCACTAATTTAGACTAATCTTTTAAACAATCTAAATAAGTAAAGTTTACTGCAAATACATGAAAATTAAAACATCTTTTAAAAAGTGAAATGAATTACAAATGTGGAAAAATAAAACAAGAAAAAGAATATACAATATGAATCTATTTGCATGTATCTCTGCAATATGCTGAAATATTTGAAAGGGAGATAAATATATTAAAAATTGCTGTTGCTTAGCCCAAAAGGAAAGCAATGGGAACAATTAGGAAATTAAAATCAATGGCGAGAGGGGGCATAGGGACCCTGGTGGTGTTGGAGCAACAGTAATCCAGCTGAGAAGAATTACTGAGAGGCAAATGAAGGGTGAGTATGATAGTGGGGTAGGAAGAAGTTAAAGGAAACAGAGTAAAGATCTAGGAAGCAAAACCAAACATAGTTGTGTATAATACGTAAATGTATTAATTCATAAAAATAGAGGTATTGGCTTATGTACATATATTTATATGAAATATATTAAGGAAGTAGCCTGACTCTGGGCATCTACTCAAGTCCTCCCTCAATGTAAAAACACTTTGTTCTATTAACTTGGCATTCTGTTATGCTCACCTTCCCAACACAATCGCTGAAGACAAAATGGGTGCAAAAGCAAAGAAAACTGATGGTGCCTGGCTATTGAAAGATATAGGATCTGGGATCTTAAAGTCTTGAAGTTAAACAAGCAGCCATCTAGCAGGGAAGCAACAAGCCCACATGGAAGAAGTGTGCCAGCATGTGCGATAATGAGGTGTCAGTGGGATCAGGTAACAGGCATCAGAAGACCCAAAACAAATAATTATATTGTTGAGAATGAGGGAGGTAGGAGTGGAGAACCCAAACCCATCTGTAGACAATTGGATATCCCGTCACAGAAGAGTCACAAGGAGGGGACGATTCAGCCAGGATGCAGAATAGCATCAATGAAACACACAATGTTTCTGTTTTTTGAGGCTTCCTCACCCCCAATATCATGACCCCAGCTCTACCTTACAAATCCAGCTATATTGGAGTGAGTACACTGGTTCAGAAAAGAGTTCTCAACACATGGAATCCAGGACAGATAAACCCCTCAGGAACAGAAATGCGAGAGGGTAGGGGAAAGATGTGGGGGAGAAGGGAAGAAAAGAGGGAACCAATCAAAATGATCAGCATATAACACCCTCAAAGGGGAAGAACAACAGAACATGGGTGAAGGGAGGCAGCAGTCGGTGTAAGACATAAAAATAATCATAATTTATTATTTATTAAGGGTTCATGAGGGTGGGATGGTGGGTTAGGGAGGGAAAAAAGAGAATAATACCAAGGGCTCAAACTGAAATAAAATGTTTAGAAAATGATAATGGCAACATATGTAAAAATGTGCTTGATGTACGGATTATTATCACATCTGTAAGAGCCCTCAATAAAATTATTTAAAATAAATAAATAAAAACTTTAAAAAACAAATTGTCAAGTGGGAACTTAATTTGCTGTATAAACTTTCACTGAAACACAATAATAAAATAGTATCTTTTAAAAGTAAAAAAATGCTGTTGCTTGAGGTTTTTATAATCACTATACATTAAGAAATTTTTAACATTTTAAAAGAAATTAAGATACAAGTCCCCAATAAAGTGATTACAAAACAAAAGAAATTAAGATACAATATCATTTAATCTTTTGGCATTTAAATATACTGCCACATCTACAAGGTTTTCAAATGATATAAATAATAATGTGACGTTCCATTGGATTTAGTAATTACATTATTTTAAAAGTAGAACTAAACTCTGATCAGTGGTAAGTCTAATACCTTTGCTTCTTCAAGTTCCTTGTCAGCGGTATCCACCACAAAATTCTTCTCTTTCTCTAGTTGCTCTGCACGTTGGTCAATTTTAATCAATTCTTTACACAGATGCTCATTGTGACTAGTTAAATCATCTACTTGACTGCTTACCACCTCTTTACTATCCAAGAGTTTCCTAACATATTCTTCCAAGCCATGATTTGTCTGTTTAAGATCTTCAATCTGTCAAAATTAGAAAAAAATCTAATTAAAATTAATTCTTAGCAAATGCAGAATTATAAGTTGTCATAAAATCCAGACTTTCTGGAGCCATTGAGATATTACTATTGCCTTGAGATAATCTTTAAACCTTAAACCACAATTATCTTCTGAAGTCTTCTTTCTTTTTTTTTAAAATTATTTTATTGGGGGCTCATACAATTCTTATCACAGTCCATACATACATCCATTTTGTCAAACACATATGTACATTTGTTGCCCTCATCATTCTCAAAACATCTGCCTTCTACTTTAGTCCTTAATATCAGTTGCTCCTGAAGTCTTCTTTCAACCAAGTAATAGTTTAGCTTAATTACTAAGGAATGTTTGCCTTGAACACTGTGTTCTTCTAAATAACTATCTAATATGGGATTAAATTGACAACAACTTTAACAACTTTAAACGTTACATAAAACACATAAGAAATTTAGGAGCAATGAGTTTAGGTTAAAGGGGGTAAGGAATCATTCATAAAAGGAGGGTGAAAATGGTTACATAACTTGAACAATACAATCAATATCAATGAATTGTACATGTAGAAATTAAATTTGTGAATACTATGCTATGTATATTTTCAGCAACAATAAATTATTTAAAACACGTTTGCTTTTTGTTCACATCCCTCGGAAGAGGGCAACTAAGTGACCAGAATCAACTGTATGTTATTTTGTACCTTCTGAATTTTATCTCATGTGAACATTGGACTCATTTTGTCAAATGAGTTAAAATTAACTCATACAGTTAAAATTTTTAAATTTTCATAGCTATATTTTTCAAGACAATTTGGTCTACTTTTAAAAGAATTTAATTACTGTAATTTTATGTAAATAACATGCACTTTCTAGTTGCTTGCCTACTGCTTCTCTACACCCCAACTGGGAAGTATTTTTGTTAACATGCTATGTCAATTTTTTTTTTTAAACAGCACAGTGTAATGAAAATTGACCTAATGGCACTTAAAAAAATACCTCCTGAGGCAGGGAGCATTTGGCAGGCAAACATAGAAGGTGCATGCTATTTGTGTAAAAAATATGATACTATTAGAAAAGTGGCCAAATGTTTCATATCTACCATACAGAAAACAGTTTTAAAATTATTTAATTTCTATAATTAATATCATTAGTCAAAATAATTCTTTAGAATTAAATTTCTAATTATCTTACAAAATTCAACTCTTTAGAAAGGTCATTTTGAAAATATTAGTACTTTACTATACTGGTTTAAATACCAAGTCAATCAAGTAATTACTGACAAATGTAGAGGACCACAGCTTCCCTTCCCAACCACTATCAACACATAAATAAAGGAAGGAATGGGTGAAAGAGCCTTTTCTATTATCAACATATCCAAATTCCTTTCAAGAAAATTAAAAAATAGATCCATTGTTGTATATTATTTATATCCCTTAAAATAAATAAACAACTTTTATTTATTAACTTATTTTATAGTAATATTAAATTTTAGCCTATGTGTTAGTCTAGGCAGACCAGAGAAACAAATCCACAGAAACTCATATGCATATAAGAGAGAGTTTTATATAAATGGTAAGTGTACATTAAGAAAGCATCCCAACCCAGTCCAGTCCAAGCCCCTAAGTCCAACAAAGTCCTCCTCAAGCTCACAAAACACAGGCAATGATGCCGACTGCAGGAGGAAAGCCAAATCAGTGAGCATGTAAGCAACTTAGCACTGGCAGGGGTCTCCATGCAGCTGCTCCAGTACCCAGGGTTGCATCAGGATAAATCCATGTGGCTTCTCCTCTGGAATGTCTTGCAGGAAGTGAGCCTTGCCAGCTGAAGCAGGGAAATAGCTAAGGCTGGTCCGACCATCAGAAAGCAAAAGACCGGAGAACTAGAAAGACAAGGCTCACCAAGCCATTTTTCTCTCCACCCTTCAGGTTGGCCAGGTTGGCACAATAAACCTTAACTATCTCAACCTCTAATCCTAGTTTATAGCATCTCTAATCCCATTTGGGAATTGGTTATCTTCATTACATTAAGGAGGTAGGATTAATACTGAGTATAGATTGAATCAATCTCTCATGAGATATAAAAGAGAATAAACAAGCAAGCTAGGAAGCAAAGATGAGGGAAGAGAGATGCCAAAACACATGAAGATTGCCCAAGAGCTGATGCTTAAAAAGATAAGGACCTTCCTCTAAAATTGAGAAGAGAAAGCCTTCCTCTAGAGCCAGCACACTGGATTTGGACTTCTGTTCTCCTAAACTGTAAGAAAAATGCTTGTTAAAGCAATTCATGCATGGTATTTCTGTTATAGAAGCACTACATAACCAAAACAGAATTTGGTACAGAGAAGTGGGTGTGCTAACAAATACCTAAAATGTACAAGTGGTTTTGGAATTGGTAATAGTAGAAGCTAGAGGAGTCTCAAGATACTTAACAGTAAAAGCTTCGGCACTTGAAGAGACTGTTAATAGAATTGTGGACATCCAAGGCCATTCTGCTAAGGGTTCAGAAGGATGTGAGGAGAGCTACAGGAAAAAGTCTCCATTACCTCAGAGAACAAATATGGCACCACCAACAAAATGGTGCTAGAAATGTGAGCATTACATGTGTTTCTGGTGAAGCTGATGAATATGTGACTAAACAAAAGAAAAAGGACTGTGCTTTTTATGCAGTGGCAAGAAACTTGTCTGAAATATGTTTAAATGTTTTGATGGAAGGTAGAAAAGTGATAAACATGGATATTTAGCCATGGAGATTTCTAAGCAAGATCTTAAAGGGACAGCATGGTTTCTCTTTGCTGCATATAGTAAAATGTGAAAGGAAAAATGAGCGGTACAAAATAAAAACAAAACTTAAAGATTTAGAAAATTTTGTTGTACAAACTAAGTCGCGTGATTTAGAATTTTCACCAAGGAAATGCCTATACAATCTTTTGCCATAAAGATGAAACATGTGATTACTGGATCTAACCAACTACCACAGTGAAAAACAATGATCAGCATAGATTTAAGGGAACAAAAAGTGAAAGGGGAGAACAGTATCTACCTCTTGGAATTCTACAGATAGAAAAGAAGCCAAAGGAGTCACACCTGTTATCTTCTAAGAAAAGATAAGAACAATCCCTGGAATCAGCAGGACTGTCAAAAGGAGCACAAGAAAAAGAGCTACTTTGGTCGCAAAGGGTGGAATCATAGTTTTCTGAGATGTCAAAGGGTGGAGCCATAAGGAGTTAATTTCAGAGTGGGACTGCTGCCATTCAATTTGGTCAAGAGGATAGGGTTGATGCCCAAAGTTAAAGGAGTAGGGTGTTTACTGAAATGGACTAGGAGAATGAGGCTGCCCAAAGCCCAGGGAGCAATTGCCAGCCTAGTGGGCCTAAAAGATGTAGCAAAAGCCCAAGACTGAGGAGCCGCCAACCATAATCCAGAGAGTACAGCCAAAACCCAGAACCTTCAGTATGAAATGCATGCAAGAAAGCAAAAATCCTTCTAAACCATAGGTTCTCAAACTTATTTCATCTACCTCCCCTTTTCAGGAAAATAAAATTTACTTAGCACCTCCATGACCATTAAAAACCTTTGTTCTATATCCAGGATATACTTCCAGCACCCTCAGGGGTGGCATTGCCTACTTTAGGAAACACTGGACTAGATAGTCGGAAAACAGAGGACTATTTTTAAGATTTAAGAGTTAATATAAATTATTCTGCTGGGATTTGGATTTTTTTTTTTATGCCCTTTATTCCTTCTTTCCTTGTAAAGGTTAAAATGTTAGGGATTATAATCAGGTGCCCTCAAACAGGATCATCAATGACAAAAAGGCATAAAGGGCCCTATTGCAGGGAACAGACAGAGTATCAAACATAACAAAGGATGCACATACAGTGGAAGACAGAATAAATGACTGGGACCTACTAAAAATAAGACACTTGTATGTGATCAAAAACTTCATCAGAAGAGTAAAAAGAGAATCTACAAGGAAAAAAAATTGTCAACAACAATGGATAAATCTCTAAAATCTATAGAAAACTGCAATCCAGCAATAAGAAAAAGATAACCCTCAAATGAAAAATGGGCAAAGGACATGAACAGACAGTTCACCAAAGGTGACATCCTAATGGCTAACAAACATATGAAAAATGCTCACCATCATTAGCCATCCAGATGATTCATATCAAAGCAATGATGACATACTCTTAATATGACAATGACAGCCAAATTTAAAAACAAAACAGAAAAGAGTAAATGCTGGAGAGGCTGCAAAGAGATTAGAAGCCTCACTTCACATACTGCTAGTGGGATGGTAAATATGTATAACTATTGTGCAAAGATGTGGCGCTATCTCAAACAACTGGTAATAGAAATTCCATAAAAGCCAGCAATACCTTTGCTCAGTACATGCCCTAAAGAAGAGCCACAGCACAAGCAGACATATGTGCACCCATGTTGATCACAATAGCACAAACAGGTAAACAATCCAAATGCCCATCAGAAGAATGGACAAGGAAACTTTGGTACATGCATATAATGGAATACTATATTATACATGCATCACTAAAAGATGAAACCACGAAGTATTTCATGGCATAGAAGGACCTGGAGATCATTATGTTGAATGATTTTAGGCGATTATAAAAGGGCACTATTGTATGAGACCACTGTTACAAAGGGGTAAAAAATCAGACTTTCAGTCTAAAGGGAACAGACTTTGGAGGTTACCAAGTAGGAGCAGGGCAAGAGAGGGCCCATGAGTCAATAGATTAGAGGGTTTACAGATATTAACTTAGATGAAGAGGCCTTATAATACACAAGAGGTAAAAGAGAAATCAAAGGAGGGCGGTAAGGTATTTGGGGGTACTGATAAGTAATTTAAACTGTTGAATACAAAACTGATGATTCAATTCACAATTT